GAAATATAAAAAGAGTTCCAGATACTCGGTGCTTTCAAGCGAAGCCGATAATATCAGCACCAGATAATCTGAACACTCAGGAAATTAGCTAAGTGCCCTTGGGGGAAAGAGATGAGTTAATGGCAAACACAAATTCTCTTTTATTGCAGCAGGTAGCTAAATTCCCTGGATTGTCTAATGAGCATGGCATGGGGATACCTGCTCAAAGAATCTTCCTCTCTGGAGTCTAGTAGTTTTAAACCCTATCCTAAGGGTATAATTGACCCAGACCCCTATCTGAATGGCAAGTAAAACACATGAAATAACAAGGTGTGGAGGCAGCAATGTATAGGGAGGCCCACAGACCTGGGGAAAATTCTGGCTGTACTCTCATCAGCTATATGCAATAAAGCCTCCACTTTCCCGGCAGCAAAATGACAATAACATCATAGCGTCATAATCATATGAGATAATGCCCAAAATATAAAAAGTATTCAATAAGTACTAGCTTTTCTAAAATATTACTATTATAATTATTATTATCAAGGTTTTGCTATACTAAAGTTTACATTATCATAAAAAGAAAGGGGAATAGTTTCCTTGAGAAGTAGGAGATCTAAGAAACAAAGACCCAGTGAGCATTTAAGATTGGTGCTCTGAGACCCAAGTGGGTTCCAGCAGATTGGCATCAGGAAGGTTATTGCAAAGACCTTACCTGCAGTGGGGGTACAGCAGTGGTTCCAAGCTAATCTTTGGATCAGGGACCAGACTGAGCATCCAGCCAAGTAAGTAGAGTGGGGCAAGGGTGGAAACTGACAATTATTTTTTCTTTGTCCAAGATGCTGACTCGAGACCAGGTATTTTCCTCTGTAGGATCCCAAATGGTTCTTTCTACTCATTCCCAGAAAATCCTCCATCGAGCATTCAGTGCTCTGGAGACATTATCCTTAGGCTGGGACTTTGGGAGTCATGAGGCAGGTGATGCGCAAGTCGTCCTGCACCTTCCACAAGAGTTTCCAAAATAGTGCTGCCCTGGACAGGGGTTTTTGTTCTACTGGATTCTTCGTTTATTGAAATCACATGAAATCACAACCTCAGCCCAGGACACCACAGCAGAATGGGGCAGGAGAAAAAAGACTGTACATACCAGAGACAAAATTTCAATACGAAAGAGCAGGCCTAACTCTTAGGAATGTGATTCTCCTGTCCTTAAATAGGCGTGCTTCTCCTATGTAAGTAGAAGGTGGTAGGTAGGTCCCAGGAGTTTCTGTAATGGTGTCCCCTGCAGTGTGAATACTGGAGGAATGGCTGGTAAACTCATATTTGGGAAAGGGACTCAAGTGTCCATCATAACTGGTGAGTCATCCCAGGCGGCACCCTTTGTAACCCCATGGGCCGGTCATTAATTCCTTACAGAGGGATATTAGTTACTACTATGGCGAGGCTAACTGTGGATGTTGTAGCTAATTGTCTTGCAGAGGCCTGGGAAGGGAAAATGCATCACTGTCAATCTTGAATATTTGTGTTTCTCTAAGTCAAATATATTGAAATTTGACTTTAATCATTCAACGGGTATTTTTAAATGCCCCCTATGTGGCTGTCACTGTATAAAATGTTACGCTGAGTGTGAAGCCTAAGATACATGCCTGATCTATCCCCAAATAGCCACAGGTATAGAGTTATTGCAAATTAAGCAAACTGAAGGCCATTTTTTTTTTTTTTTTTTTGGCCAAAGTTTCACTCTTCTAGGCTAGAGTGAGTGCCGTGGCGTCAGCCTAGCTCACAGCAACCTCAAACTCCTGGGCTCAAGCGATCCTTCTGTCTCAGCCTCCCAAGTAGCTGGGACTACAGGCATGTGCCACAATGCCCGGCTAATTTTTTCTATATATATTAGTTGGCCAATTAGTTTCTTTCTATTTATAGTAGAGACGGGGTCTCGCTCTTGCTCAGGCTGGTTTCGAACTCCCAACCTCGAGCAATCCGCCCGCCTCGGCCTCCCAGAGAGCTAGGATTACAGGCGTGAGCCACCGCGCCCGGCCTGAAGGCCATTTTAGTATGAACCGATTGACGATGTCGATGAGCACAATAGAGATTGAGAGGGATAGGGTCCCGGCTGGAAAGCTGGCCCAGAAGGAGAAAGTGTTATGCGGCACAAAGGATTCTTTGAGCCCTGATGAATGGGTAAGATCTGTAAGAGCAGAGAAAGAAAAATGGGGAGTTCCAGGAAGGAAGTTGAGATCTTGGGAATGAACAAGAGACATGCATTTTGGCCTAAGTAAACACATCTGATAATAAAGTTCCATGGAGAGCATGGGAAAGAAGGTGTCTTCTTAGACAATGGAGAAAAAGAATTCTAGTGCATTCAGGAGAATATAGCCACTGGGAAGCTGAGAATCCAGTTGAGAAATGCAGACCAGATGCGAAGGTGAGAAGAGCCAGCTGTGATGTAGGGGCCTCCCCTCTCCATCCTTCCTGAGTGGGCTCAAAGAGGGGTTACCCCAAGCCTCAGAGGAGGAGAAACCTGAGGGTTTCTGTAATGGAGACTTTGGGAGTGGGAAGCAGGTATTGCCTCCCAGTTGCAATTTGGCAAAGGAACCAGAGTTGCCATTACTCCCGGTGAGTCTGCCCAAGCTTGCTGCTTCCGACGCCCAGCAGAGCCTCAGTGGGACTCAGAGTCAGTGTCACTCACTCTCATTTCTGGGTCCCTAGTGCTTAACTACTACAGAGCACAGATTTATTGGTAAAGGAGTTTTCAATCACTGCTGTGCCCTTGGGGATCTAAAGTACTAGAGCATTCTGACATGTGCTTCTGCAGTTAGTTTTGAATTAAAATGACAGGTAAGGGTCTAGAATAGCTGAACTTCCACACTGAAAAATCAATCAGTCTTGCTAAGGCTACCTTCTGATAGCATCAGTGGTAGGAGGTGTTTTTCTTAGTTGGCTGGAATAGGATGTCTCTCCCCACAGGGCTCTGGCAGATGGACCCCTAAAGACCTCCAAATTAAAAGTGGCTCATTTCTTATTTTCAGACAAGATAAGGTTGCACTAAAGGTACATGGGGATGAAAGTAACAGAGAACTAAAAAAATATTAAGTGCCTCTAACTCAGCTCCTGTTGCCATTCCTCAAAGTCTCACGTTGTATGTATGGCACTTTGTTGTCTGGACCGGCGCTGCCCAACAGAACTTTCTGTGACGATGAGGATGTTCTGTCAATCGGCACTATCCAATCCAGTAGCTACCAGCTGCATGTGGATACTGAAGTGAAGTTCTCATTTTTAATTGAATTTTAAGTTGCATTTATCTTGGTAATTTTCAATTAAATAGCCACATGTGACTAGAGACTATCGTGTTGGACAGGCTGGTCTAGACCTTCTCCAGTCCGACACCCACTGGCCCCAAGGCTTGAGTGGATGTATAACCAGGACCCAAAGCTGAGCTTCTGGCCCCTACAGCAACCCCCTTTCCCTTCTAAAGTCAAAGTCTGTCCTGCAGCACCTGATCTACTGCCTTACCCTCAAGGCCACATGCTCTCAGCACTTCTACACTCTTCCATGTCCCCTCCGCAGTCCCACCCATGACCCCCACTGATGACTGACAACACTCTGGGATGTGTCAGTGGAGCTAACCCTGTCTCTCCCCTCCCAGTAAAGAAATTATGCCTCAGGGCCTTAACCCACAGTGACACCAGGCTGTATAGATATGTGGGGGTTGGAAGGCAGGAGGCAGGGTCCTTCCGGCCAGAGCTCTGCTGTCTCTGCTGACCATGGAGCCTTCGGCCTGCTCTGCAGCTCCGGGTCCAGCCCGCGCCGCAGCCAGCTCTACCTTCCTCGGCATCCCAAGGACTAGCGGAGGGCTGATTTCTTTGGTTTTCATCCAGCTGGATGTCTGCATTGCCAAGGCCACCCTGGCTGGCTCAGCAAGCGGGGTGCCCCCGCCAGGATCTGAGAAACCTTGTGCATGTATGAGGAGCTCTGGGAGTGGAGAACCACAGGGGCAGGAAGTCCTAATCCCAACCCTGCTGGAAACTCTCTGGGTGGCCCCAATGTGCTAATCCTCCCAGCAAACCTCTCCTTCCTCCTCTAAAGGCAGGAGGTTGGAAAGAATAAACAATGAGAGTCACATTAAAAACACAAAATCCTACAGGAAATACTAAAGAATGAGTCTCAGCACTAAGGAAATGCTTCCAGCAGCTCCTGCTTCCTGGGGCAGCAGAGTAGAAACTGTGACTCCATGTTACTACCTACTAACCACTAACCTTTGTTCAGTACTTTACGGTTTATTAAATATATGTTTACATGAAGAAACTCTCATTTGTTTCTCAGAGTAGCCTGGTTGGGAAGGTGGATGAGGCAACATATTCATTTTACACATGAAGTTCCTGAGACTTCACAAGCTGATATATCTAGTATTTACTAGATTACTATTTGGTAGAACTGGGGCTTGGACACAGGTGTTCTGATTTGTAGTCCAAAACTTTTATCAACGAGAGAGAAATCTCCTGGCGATGCGATAGATGTTCCATCTTAATGCCAGCATGTTATAAACCTCCGATTCCCGCCAATGCCCAGCCCAAGTGAAGAAGGCCATTCCAGGTTCCAAGACATATGGTTTGCGTGGCTGGGCTTTTTTCTACGCTTGCCTTTGCCTACTGGAGCTGTGTTGTTTACTAGGCTTGCTGAGCTTTTGAAGATGTTGCTATTAAGTATTATAGAAGAATAGGCGATATCATTACATAGCCCTGCATTTCTGGTTTCTTTGACTGGCAGGCAGGGCCTGGCAAGAACATTTACTGCAAGCCTAGCCTCTTGGCCAGGATTGATGGCCTGTGCCTGTCCCTGAGTCCCAGTCCGTCGTGAACAGCTGGTTTCTAAAATCTTATTTCCCACATAAAGCCTGAGCCCATGACTTGCCAGCCCCACAGGGCCCCACTCTGTTCATCACTGGCAACTGGCCTCTGGCCTGGGTTGGGGCAAAGAGGGAAACAAGAGAATCTCCTGACCTCGGTCCTCTTGGCCCACAGATATCCAGGACCCTGACCCCGCCGTGTACCAGCTGAAAGACTCTAAATTCGGGAACACCTCTATCTGCCTATTCACTGATTTTGCTTCTGAAAAGAATGAGTCCCAAGACAAGAAACCTGAAGTGTTCATCTCAGGCAAAACTGTGCTGGACATGAGCTCCATGGATTCCAAGAGCAATGGTGCCTTGGCCTGGAGCAACAAAGCCGATTTTGCATGTACAGACGCCTTCAGGGAGGGCGAAGCCTACTCCAACTCAGGTGAGTGCAGCCTTGATGCCTTGGCAAGCCATTTCCTTGCTGCAGAAGAGCCCTGCTTCTGCCCAGAGCTCAGGTCAATGGTGTTAAAAGTTGCTCTGATTGGTGGTTTCAGCCTCATGAATTGTCAGCAAAGCCCCCACACTTTGTTTACTAAGGAGCAATGAGCCCTGCCCAGCAGTTCATCGAATGTCCTGGGCAAAAAGCAGATGGACAGGTGACAGGAGAGGGTACTGGCCCAGGCTTAGTCTCCCTGCTCTGAGCTCTCACACCTCCCTGCCTTGTCATAGGCTGTTTGCCCCTTCCTGTTCCATGAGGCCCTGGTCTAATGCCCTTCTCCAAGATGCCTCCCCTCATTCTATCTACCAAAATATCTTCCCCTGCTCCTAACCTCACCCGGTCACTCATTCATTCAACAACCATTGACTGTGCAGGTACATGAATGTACCAGTGCTGGAGTGCAGCAGTAAAGCACCAGATGAGATTCTGCAGGGAGACCTCTCTATTCTAGTTGGGGGCGCCCACCCATCCACAGGGGAAAAGCAAAGAAACTTCAGATTGTAACCTTTGCATTAACTTGGGGTTGAGGAAACAGCCACCTTCAGGACAGAAGTCAGGGAAGGGCTCTCTGAGGAAAAGCTATCTGAAGGTACCAGCCAAGCCAAGGACAGAGAGAAGACCCCATGGAAGCCTGAGACAGGGGTGCAACGAGAATGGGGAGGAGCAGCAGGAATGAGCTGGGTGAAGTCAGCAGGGCCAGGTCCCAGGGCCACAAAGGCCATGAAGGCCATGAAGGCAGATACTATTCTAAGTATACTGGGAAGCTGTTGATTGGCTTCAAGCAGAGGAGGGACACCTAATTTCCTTTTTTAAAGATCAGCCTGACTGCTGTGTGGAGAACGGGTTGTAGGCCCAGAGTGGAAGCAGAAAGGGAGTGATTGCAGTGAGATGACGGAGGCCCGGGCGGGGTGCTGGCAGGGAGTTGGCCAACACCATTGGGTTTCAAAGATAGAACCCCACGGGGCTGAGAAGGAAAAGAGGGGATCAGAGGAGGTGACTGGGTTTTATGCCTGAGTGGCTGAGTCAATGGTAGCACTGTTTACTGAAATGGAACAAACTTAGGATGGAGCAAAGGAACAAATTTGGGGTCCCAGGATAAAATCTTTCTGGAACACATGAAAATGTCTACACCTTTATGACCCTTGTCACTGTGTATTTATTTCACTGTCCCTATTGGACTCCAGACTGAAACTGCCCAAGAGCAGGGTCTATGTGTGATAGTTCCCTGCGGCCTGTGTCATGTAACGTGTACTTTGCACAACCAGTCTGTGTCGAGTAAACAAAATGGTGCCCAGAAGCCAGAGGGCTGGTCCCGCCAGGGGCAGGGGCTCTCCCCAGCAGGTGCCCACACGCCGTACGCTCCCTCTGGACCTCTCCTCGGGAAGCATGGAAAGGCTGTGGATGTCCAGCTGCCCAGCAACGAGGGGGTCTGGGGCAGGAGAGTTGATGTGCTCTGGAAGCTAAGAAAATTTCTTTTTTTTCTCCTTGCAGCATTTCCCTGTGATGCCAAGTTGGTACAGAAAGGCTTTGAAACAGGTAAGAGAGGGTCTAGCCTCACTTTGAACAGGGCTGGGGAGGCAGTGAACCCACCATAACCCAGACGGGGCAGGGCAGGTGGGAGGAGTTGGTGGGTGTGGGGGACACCATTATGAGGAATGGGAACAGCAGGTGGAGACCTGCTCAGAGCTGCCTGGGGTCTTGCCGGAATCCCTGTCGCCATCTGTAACTTTCTTTTCCGTCCTAAGTACTTTGAGAATGAGTGTTGAGTTCCACCAGACCGGTGACTCACCGCTAGGTTTCTGCATTCCCGCCAATAGCTCCACAGGCAGAAGAGCCAGCGAGCGCTTCTGGGTGGCCCAGCTATGAACTGTCTGACGCCCTTAGGTGTAGCCCTAAACTAACCTCCTCCTGGGGATGTGTTCACTCCATAGCCAAGAGGTTTTGCCTTCTTTTGAGAAAAGCGGCAGAGCTCACACAGGCTGTAGGCTGTTCCTCTCAAGGACACCCCCCTCCCCTGACACCTACCCTGGGCCCACACTCATCTCCATCTGAGTTGTTCTTCCTGAGTCATCGCTCCTGTGGCTCAGCCACTGGATGTTCATGGAAGGGGCTCAGACCCAAGGCATTATGATGATAAGTTCTGAGCACCTACCTCCACCCCATCCCCAGAGGAGCTCAGAAATAAAAGAAGGGCCAAGTCCAGTTGCTGTTTTTGTTTTGAAACACAATACTGTTGACCCCGGAGGAATGCATACATATGTCTGCAAGGAGATGTGCACCGAAGCTCAAGGCAGGTCCAGGAGCTGAAGCCCACGCCACCACCCCCACTCTGCCTTGAGAATGCCTTTCTTGCACCCTGCAGGGCTGTGCAGACCTCAGGCGTGCACACCCCTGACCACTGTGGCCTCTTGGTTTTGCAGATATGAACCTAAACTTTCAAAACCTGTCAGTGATTGGGCTCCGCATCCTCCTCCTGAAAGTGGCCGGGTTTAACCTGCTCATGACGCTGCGGCTGTGGTCCAGCTGAGGTGAGAGGGCAGCAAAGCTGGGAGTGGGGGGTTGGGGTGCAGGTCTCGGGGTGGTTCCCAAGATCTGAGGACAAACCTCCCTGCAGGTCTTGCTCTTAAGTCCTGAGCCTGGGCCCATCAAACTCTTCTACTTCTTCTGTTACAAGTTCCTCTTGTTAACAACAGTGGCCTAAAACATCGTAGGACAAAACACACTCATTTCAGCCCCCTCAGCTGAGCCAGGTCTCCCCTACGAGGTAGGAAGAACAGTCGTTACCCCTGTTTTAGAAATGAAGAAAGAGAAGCCAAGTAACATCAGGGCCACACAGCTAATGGGGGGAGAAAAGACAGACTCGGGGCCCAGACTCGTTCATACCACATGCCCTCTGCTCTCCCTCAGTGTAACCTAACGGTCCCACGTCCTTTCCTCGGGTCCTCTGTGCCACCATGGCTCTCTCAGAGCAGTAGAGAAAAGTCGTTATGCTCGTTCATATCACCCCTAATCCTGCTCGAGCCTCCAGGCCCCTCTCCGCCAGTGACCCTGGTCATCTTGCTGACAGCTGCCTCCCGTCCCACCGCCATCACTAAGAGCTCCAGGTCCACTTGCTCCTGGAGCTCTGCGAGGCAGCCCCAAACAGAGCCATCCCCATCACATCCCTGGCAGTCCCGCGTCCTCCTCGGCGTCCAGCCTGACTTCTGCTCTTCCTCACCCCAGGTCAGCAAGACCATGAGAGCCCGTGCTCCCTCGCTCCGTGCTCCGCATCGCCCTCCTCTCCCTCTTCCTACAGAGGGAGTGCTCCCACCCCACGAGGACAAGGCTCCCACCACCCCTCGGGCTCCCTGGCAATGCCGTGGACAAGATCCTGCCTGAATTTGTGATGAAGATTGCCAAGGAGCTGCCAAACACTGCTGCCCTGTGCCCTGTCCCCTGTTGCTGCTTGTCACTGCCTGACACCCCGGCAGAGGCAGGGCTGTGCAGAAACCCCTCGCCCTCCCCACAGCTGCCTCTGCCGTCCTCTGGAGGGGAGCCCCGGGGGTTCTCTCGGACTCTAGCTCCTGGAGAGTGTTGTGAAGAGTTTGTTTTTGTTTTTTACTAGTGTTCATAAAGAAATACATGTTGCTCTGTTTCTCAAGATGTGGGGGAAACTGTCTCATTATCGAGGCCCTGCTATGCTGTGTATCTGAGCCGCACTGTATATATCCTGCTGCCCGAGGCTTCATTAAAAGTGATTGGAAGAGCAGAGACGGTGTCCTCATTTGACTGGGTTTGGTTGGGGTCATTTTCTGCTTGTTGGTGATCACTAGCTGGGCAGAGAGAAACCAAGGCATTTGTCCACGATGCTGTCCAGGGAGCCCAACTCCATAAGCTGCATAATTCAACCTCTTCTTGGAATAACATCTAAAAACTCCACTTAGCAGGCTGTGCTGGGGGCCAGGAAAACCCACTTGAAAGCTTGGGCCCCCCCTCTTGTGTCCTCATGCCACACCACTGGACCACCCACAGCGGGGGACCCACACACGGGCGGTAGTGACCTGGAGTTGAAATTTGGCAGGCAGGGACCACACAGCAAGTGTCCCCAAAATGCCACCCACTGTCTCCTGCCCTCCAGGAACACTTCCTTTGTCTTTCCTCTCAGCCTGGATCTCCACTGAAACTGTGCATTGCCTCACGGATTCATGGCTGGGGACCACCCACCACTCTGCTGCCCGGGTCCCAGCCCCATGCCCAGCGCCTAGAGGTACCCAGTCTAGGAACGGGGTGGGAGGAGGTTGTGAGCCCAGCAGGACTTCACACCTCCACCATCCTGGATGTGAGAATGAGGAAAGGGGAAGATGAGCTCTCTCCCCTCAAGCCCAGAGACTTGGCCAAGGAGAGCTGATGTCGCAAGCTCTCACCTAGGAGGCAAGGAGTGGGATTCCCTGGGGATCCGCAGCACACCTCGCTCTCCGGGGACTCCTGCTGCCCAAGCGCCTTCCCCCAGGGCCCCAGACACTGATGGGAACATACCTCAGGGACCACACTGCCACCCACCTAACAACAACCGCTACCAGGACCCAAAGCTGATGCCTACTAACCCCAGGAGTGGGAGGGGGTTCAAGCCCCACATACCTTTATAGTTCACCTACAGGTTGAGAATCCCTTATCTGAAATGCTTGGGACCAGCAGTGGTTTGGATTTTGAATCTTTTCAGATTTTGGAATATTGGTATAATACTTACCAGTTCAGCATCCCTAATCTGAAAATCGGGAAACCAAAATGCCCCAAGGAGCATTTCCTTTGAGTGTCATGTTGGCACTCAAAAATTTTCAGATTTTGGAGCATTTCTAATTTCAGATTTTCAAATTAGGGATACTAAGCCTGTACTGGCTTTAATAGGTGACCTAGGGCATGTCCTCCCTTCTGTGAGTTTCAGGGTCACCACCTATAAAATGTCAGATCAGACCGGAGGCAACCCCAGCTCCATGCGTCTCTGATTCCACAACCCCTGCAGAACCGAGAATCAGCGTCCCATGTACTGAGGGATCACAAAATCCCAGGTCCTTCTAAGCTGCCCATCTCCAGCCTAAACACAATCCCTTTAAAGGTCACCGAAAGGAAAGGTCTCAGAAGAACTCCCAGCACAGAAGGGTCCCCACGGGAACTCTGGGAGGCCTTCTGCCTCCACCTGCCTCCTCCCAGCCTGACACAACTCAGAGATTCCACCATCGGGGATTTGTTTTCATTAAAGCATTTTCTTCCCCTTTTAAGTGAAAAACGCCCCTGGGAGGGTTAATAGAACAAGACTTTAAAAACCGTTAAAAACTTAGGGCAAATTAGTTTGTCTTCTTTTTCCTAAAGTGGTAATTCACTTTGCTTTGCAGAAAGCAGATCTGCATGGGTGGGTGGCTGGGCAGGCGGTCTGCTCCTGTGAGTCAGCTGCAGCGAGGCAGAGACGGAAGGGACACCGGCCTAGGGCAGGGGACAGAAGCCTGGAAGGCAGTGAAGACCCCTCCCAGAACCTTGGAGGAGACTCAGATTGAAGGAGGCCTCCAGGAGTCTGGCCTAGCATTGCCAGCCCAGTACCCTCGAGTGGCAAAGCCCAGTGGTCACTGTCTCCTAAGGCCACCTGAGGGAGACGCAGGGGCTGGAGACCCAACCACACCCATGGAGGGAGTAACGCCTCCTGCTCCCAGGCCCTGCCTATGCTGAGGTGCAGGGGACAAGGCCTGGGCAGGTAGGAGGCCATCTGTAGAGCAGGGTCAGCTCCGCCGCCTGGGAAATTCCCATCTAAAACCAGAGTTCCCTCAATTCAGCAAGAACCATCCCTCATGTACAAGGCTGTCAAACTCAAAGGCAATTAGGGTTGAGGTCAAGGGGTGGACGAGGGGCAAGTGGGCTGAGGCTGAGCAGGTGCTGGGAGTGGGGGCAGAGACTCCATCCAACTCGACCACTCTGTCCTCACATCTGGCTCCAGGCCCCACCTGGGATGTCAGCAAGAATTAAAGTGGCCTTGCAGGGAGGCCCAGGGGAAGGGTTCCTGCCCCACTAGGAAGGTCAGCACTGGGCCTAGGGTTGCCATGGTGCGGCCACTCGGTTCCCCCAGCTACAATGAACTGGGCATTATTTAGCCTGAAGGGAACAGGTGACTGAGGACACCCGGAGACATGAAGAGCCCAGCCCTAAAGCCCCCCAGCCCCAAAGATCCAGGGCAGCAGCCAAGCTGCAGCCCTGCCAGCCTGGACCCAGCCTCACAAAGGGTAGGTCAACATCCCAGCAGGGAACGTGTCACCAAGGCCAGCTATAGAATGGACTTCTCCGGATAGATGCCCTACTGTCCCAAAAGGCTTGAGCACAGGCCAGCCCTGGAGGCAGAAGAATGGACCAAATGACTTCTCATGACCCCAGGCCTAAGATTCTAGAGGATTCTCTGAAATTTCACTTAGAGTCCTGACCTCTGAGTGCATGTGGAGTCGCAGTCTACCCAGGAGAAAGAGCAGGCTAAGCAGGAATACGCTTCAGGGGTATCTGGAAGGGGAATTCAGCACCAACAGAGCGACCCCCTGCCGTTAGCCACCCGCAGGAGGGGCAGCCATCTGAGTCTTAAAGGACTATTTATATTTTTGGTTCACCCATAAAATCCAACGCCCTTGGGGTCACATGTAAAGCCCTTATTATCAGGTTAATGTCTCAGCAAGGCAGTCCACCGGCCTGTGCACTTCCTGGGATGGGAACTGGACCCTGATCATTCGTGTGTCCCCAACAGCTAGCACAGTGCCTGGCACACAGCAGGTGCCACGGAATGAACAGATACAGGATTCCTGCAGTTAGGCACTGGGGAGGGAGCTGAGCACGAGGGTGGGGAGTACAGGAGAAAGGAAAGTGTAGATTAATAGAGGAGGTAGCCAAGTCAGCCACCATCTCACAGTGTTGCCAAGAGCTAAGAGTAACTTATCAAGAACCATCAGAAAAAGCAAAGCCAGAGTGGCAGCCCCTTGGCCAGGGCAGCCCCCAGGCAGGCGCTCCTCCAGCCAGTGAAGCCTGAAGGACACCCACTCCATGCACGGGAACCCGGGAGTCCCATCACCACGTGACCCCACCAAGGTCCAGGGCCGCAGGTGGCTTTCTAGTTCCACCCCCGGTTCTCCAAGTGTCTCATCCTAAAACCCGTCTCCAATCCGCCTCCTCCAGCAACGTGTGGGAAGAAGAGCTTCTGACAGAGGTGGGTGGGTCTGGGGAGCAGGCCACATGGACACCCAGTACCCCGTCAATCTCACTAATAAAAACGCCAATTGCTGTGGCGGCTGCAGGACCACCGCGCCCGCCTCTGTGTAAAGGCCCCCGGGCGGCAGGGGGCTTCGGGCCTCCCTCCGCAGAGAAGCCCATGCGTGAGGTCTCCTCTGAGCAGCACACGTGGAGCTCCACTTTGACATTAATAAACAGGTCAGACATTGAGTCAGTAGCCAGAAGTAGAACAGGAAGTGGAAAAAGCCGCCCACTTCCCTCCAGGTGTTTGGGGGCTGGGGCGGCCCCCTCCCATTTCCGTGACATCACGGCTGCCAAGAGGGGCAACTAGGCCACCCTTTGAAGCTCTCCCGCAGAAGCCACATCCTCTGGAAAGAAGAGTTAAAAATACTGAGTTAGAGATAGCATCGCCCCAGGCCACGTGCCAAGGGGAGCGGGCTGGGCCGTTACACCGCCGCCCAACCGCAGGTGTGACGAGAAGGCCGGGAAGCCAAGCTGGGAGGGCTCTGGGTGACTGGCACCCACACCCAGCGGGGGCTGGGCGGGGTTGCCGCTCTGGCTGAGACGCCACCCCTCCAAACCAGGCCCCGAGGTCAAACCTTGATATCATCCGACCAAGCACTCGCTCAGTACTAGGCAGCCCCCCAGGCTAGTGTCCAGCCCACCCTCCCCGGGGAGGTAGTGATGCGGGGCTACCTCTGCCCCCACACAGCTGGGGCTGCTCCGCCGAGGCAGCCTCCCAGGCAGCCCCACCCTCGCCCTCACTCCAGGCCGAGGCTGAGTGCTGGTGACGGCCCTGATGGACAGCTGTCTCTCGGTTTGACCTGGAGCCCAGGATTCCGCAGGAGAGGAGCTGCGGAGCCTGAGTCCCCAAAAGCGCCGGGGTTGATGTCCTGCCTGTGGTAGTGTCCCTGGACACCCACCTGGGGGCAGCAGCGCTCCACCAAAAAGGCTGCTTCTGCCTTGGTCTGTTTGTTCTGGGAAAAGAAAGTTCCCATGCTTAGGAAAACCTCTTTTCAGAGGAAAATAAAAGGGCAGATGACTTTCATTGCACAAGTCCTTGCCCATGCTGGTCTCTGCGCGGGGCTCCCGGCCCGTGTGATCCTGTCACATCCCCACAGAGAGGCGGGTCTAGGGTCAGCCTGGCAGGCAGCAGGGGGCACCACCTGCCCAGGATCATCAGACTCCTGCCGCCAGAGCACTAGGCGAAGCCCAGGGGGAGGTGCTAGGGAGGACCCCGCTGGGGCCAGCAGGGAGCCTTGGATTCAGAATCAGGGAGCCTGGGCTGGCGTCCCCTCCAGGATCCACGGCTTCATGGCCCTGGACAGGTCACTAACCACCCACAGCCTCATGAGATCAACTTTCTCTCATAGGTAAAGACTCAAGGCCTTCTTTCACACTGTGTACCCGCCATGCGTCAGACGCTGGGCCAGGCTCTGGGGAGTCGTCAGTCTCTGTACAAACTGTATGCACCTGTGTGGATGAAGTTCCAGAACAGGCAAAGGACAAAAGGAACCA